TGTTTATCTTTTCAAAGAGCCAGCTTTTAGTTTCATTGATCTTTTCTATTTTTTTTTAGTCTCTATTTTATTTATTTCTGCTTCAATCTTCATGATTTCTTTCCTTCCAGTAACTTTGGGTTTTGTTTATTCTTCTTCCTCTAGTTGCTTTAGGTGTAAGTTTAGTTGATTATGTGAGATTTTTCTTGTTTCCTGAGGTAAGCCTGTAATGCTATAAATGTCCCTCTTAGAGCTGCTTTTACTGTGTCCCAGAGATTTTGGATTGTTGTATTTTTGCCTTCATTTGTCGCAAAATATTTTTTATTTTCTCTTTGATTTCTTCAGTGATCCACTGCTTGTTTAATAGCATATTGTTTAGCCTCCACGTGTTTGCAGGTTTTGCAGTTTTTTTTTTCTTGTACTTGATTTCTAACCTCAGTGCATGGTTGGAAAAGCACTTGGTATGATTTCAATTTTCTTAATTTTACTCAGGCTTGCTTTGTCGGCCAGCACGTGACTGCTTCCTTTCCCAAGTTAGGGAAGTTTTCAGCTATTCTCTCTTCAAATATTTTCTCAGGTCCTTTCTTTCTTCTCTTTCTGGAACCCCTATCTTGCGAATATTAGTGCTCTTCATATTGTCACAGAGACCCCTTAAACTGTCCTCATTTCTTTTCATCCTTTTTTCTGTTCTGCATAGTGATTTCCACTAATCTGTCTTCTAGCGCACTGATCCGTTCTTCTGCCTCATTTAGTCTGTTCTTGGTTCCTTCTAGTGTATTATTCATTTCAGTAATTGTATTTGTCAACTCTGTTTGGGTTACCATTTATATTTTCTAACTCTTTGCTAAAAGCTTCACTCTGTGCAGCTATTCTCCTCCTGAGTTTTCTGAATATCTTCACAATCATTACTCTAAACTCTTTCGTGGATAGTTTGCCTATCTCATCACTTATTTCTTTTTCTGGGATTTTATCTTGTGCCTTTGCCTGGAACATATTCCTCTGCCTTCTTATATTGTCTAAATTTCTATTTGTATTTTTAAGTAGGTTAGTTATGTTTCTCAACCTTGGAGAAGTGGCTCTCTGTGGGAGACGTCCTGTGTCCCATCCCAGCAGTGCAATCCTCTCTCATCACCCAAGGGCCAGGGTCCAGCTGGTCCCAGGATAGTCTGGCCTGGGTTTGCCGATTCCTTTCACAGGCTTTGGGACTGTTATTTTCTTACTTCTGGTATCTGTACCCTAGTGGGTGAGGCTGGACTAGAGGCTTGTGCAGGTTTCCTGGCAGGAGGAATTGTTGCCTGCCCGCTGCTGGGTGAAGCTTGGTCCTGGTCCTCTGGTGAGTAGGGCTGTGTCTCGGGGGTGTGTCTAGAAGTGGGCTCGGAAGTCTGCTGATGGGTGGCGCTGTGTTCCCACTCAGTATGTTGTGTGGCTGAGGCTTCCCAGCACTTAAACCTACAGGTGTTGAGTGGGGCTAGGTCTTTGTGTTAATGATCCAAGCAAGATGTCAGCCCCTAGGAAAGCTCATGTAGGTGAACATTCCCTGAATGTCCACCACCAGCTTTTATGTCCCCAGGGTGAGCCACAGATGCCCCCTACCTCTCCAGGAGACCTTCCAAAACCAGCAGGCAGGTCTGGCCCAGGCTCCTATGAAGTCACTGCCTCTGCCCTTGGCCCTGGTTCAGGCAAGATTCTGTGTGCACTTTCCAAGAAAGTGAAGTCCGTTTCCCCTAGTCTCATGGAGTTCCTGGAGTTAAGCCCTGCTGGCCTTCAAAACAAGTTGTTCTGAGGTCTCCTCCTCCCACTGCTGGAACCCTGGGCTGGGGAGCCTGATGTGGGGATTAGAGCTCTCACTTCTGTGGGAGGGCTTCTGTGACTTACTCTTCAGCTTGTGGGTCGCCCTCCCAGGGAGTATGGGGCCCAATTCTATCACGACCACGCCCCTCCTACTGTCTCACTGTGGTTCCCTCTTTATGTTTCCAGCTGAAGATCTTTTTTGCCAGGTTCCAGTCTTCCCCCTCCCCCATGGCTGTTTAGCAGTCAGCTGCGGTTCTGTTGCAGTCACGAGGAGAGGTGAGCTCGTGGTCCTACTATTCCACCATCTTGACTGGAAATCTCAGTGAAGAACTTCCTAAATTAGATAGAACATGTTTTCACTCCTATTGTTTTTAATTTCTGAAATGTTTATTATAAAATCAGCTGAAGAATCAGGAATTACAGAAAAAAATTTTCATTTTAAGCTTTTTTAAAAAAGCTTTTTAACTGACGCGAACATACTTGCAGAGAGGAGTGGTGCTAAGCATATGGCGCAGTGGATCATCAGAAAGCAAAGCCGCCCACGCAGCCATCACCAGATCAGGGAAGGGCACGGCCAGCGCCCCAGAGGTCACCCCACTTTGTGCTCCTTTCAGGCTCTGCCCTCCAATAGCAACCATCAACCTGACTCTGTAACAGCATTGGTTAGTTACCTTTTTGAATTTTATGCATTAATAAGTAGAATCACACAAGATGATTTTTGGTCTGGCTGTTTCCACTCAGTTATCTGTGAGAATCACCCGTGCTGTTGTGTACAGTTTGTCACCGCCGTGTAGCCTTCTAGGGCGTGAAACCACTATGTTTATCTCTTCTATTGCTGATGGGTTTTGGGGTTGTTTCCAGTTTTGGTCAATTATGAATTCTGTTGCTGTTTTGGTGCATGCATTTCTGTTGGGTATGTACGTCGGAGTGGGAACCACGGGTTACAGGCTCTTCACATGTCCCATTATCTTTTTTCATATGACAAAGTTAGATTTCTGTTACCTATGAATCTACATCTTGAGTTCTCACATGGATCCAGAGGCGCTGGGCACCAGCCAGCAGTTAATTTTGACAGTCTTGTTGTCTAAGAAAGATAATTCATTTAACATTTATGAAGTGCCTCCTGTGACTCAGGCACTGGGCTGGATGCTGAGGACACAAGACCAACAGGACCCCCTCCTCATGAAACTTAGGAGAAGACCCAAAGTCAGACAACTGCAACACCTGCATGTTTAACTGAATATTTTTGTTTGTTCTGATTTCGTAAAATAAGTTGAAAATAAAAAATGCTGACCCTAGTGAGATAGGTCTCACAGATCTACTCAAAGGAAGGAGGGAGGGATGGATATTGTGGGACAATTAGCTATTTCTGCCACACCTACCAAATTAGGCAACGAGTTCCAAGTTTGTTCACTGTTTCGTTATCAGTGCTTAGCACACAGCATTTACTAAAACTGCTGAATCTTTCACAATGCTAGAACAGAGGATATAACTCCAGATGTTTCTAAACACAGGACTGGATATTTTTCATCAGAAAGAAAAGCTGCATAGCTGTAGGCCAGAGTTCAGGCTGTTTAGTATTAGCAGGTGACTCTGAACATGCTCTGAATCTTATTCTTCATGATAAAATGGGGATGCCCTCTGATCCCCACTGTATGGGGATGAAGAGTTGGGAGGATTAAAGAGAACGTACTGAGCACATAGATCATGCTTAGAACATGTTCTCTTTCCTTCCTTATGGAGAAGTGCTGGCAATACCCGCTGTGACACTGGTTGGTTGGCTTTCTGCCCAATAACTGTCTACTGTCCAACCTGGATCACAGCTGATTTGCAAAGTGGAAGGACATGCAGCCTGTCTAATCTCTGATGCATTCGACGTTTTATGTTTAGGTTAAGCTAAACTACCTAAGCTAAACTAGAAAGTTCAGTAGAGACCTAAAAAAAGTAGACAAAAAAACCCCAGACTGTGTTTCTCTTTTGATTTGGCTGGTATCAAGCACAGTCAAAACTACTACTCAAACTTAGCAACTATTTAAGACCTCCTGGGCCACACGTGTGATTTCACTTAACTTTCATTTTTAATCGTCTAAGCCGAGGACATGATCCTGATTTGCTTTTGCTTTGGGTGTTCCTGCCTCTGGGGTGGGGCAGCACCCTCCTTTTCAGGGCCCCTCCGTGGGCACTGGGATTCTGTTTAGGTGTCTGTGTCCTTCTGTGAGCTCCTTGAACAAAAGGACTGTCTTGTTTACCTGACTTACTTTTATCTGTTCATATTTTCTCCCTTTTGTCAATTACATTTTTAAAGGTAGCATCAACATTTTTGGAGAGTGAAGTGGAGTAGAAATTTTGAAAGGAAAAAAAAAGAAGGAAACCAGACCTCAGGACACACTGTGAACAGCACTGAAAATGGGGAGTGAGACAAACATGACATAAATTACACCCCTCAGAAAGTATCAGCCAGAGACTTGTCCAAGGTACACAGAGGTCAGCGTGAAGGGGCTCCCAACCGGCCGGGCCTGGGACAACGTGAACATCATACAACGACAGTAATGGACGACACACTGAAAAAATAATGACACCTGAGTTTGATGAGGAATGGAACATTTACATAGCTTCCAAGTACCTCCACACAAAATACATGTGAATTACAAAGGAAGAGTAACTTCACCGTCTAAGAAGCTTGGCAGAAGCACCTTCATCAAGCAATAAACATGAACATAATCAGCAAAGGGGCAAATCCAGGCTGCACACCACGGACAGGATGCAGCGGGGAGGAGGGCGGCACTTCATGAAAGCCCCGCCGAAGACCCACAGCCTGAGTCTAATGTGAGGAAACACCAGACAAACGCATGCTGAGGCCACTCTGTGAAGTAACTGGCCTGTAACCTTCAGAAGTGTCGGAAGTCAAGACAGGAGCTGTTCCAGACTTTAAGGAAACCAAAGTGAAACAGCAACTAGTTGCCACAGCTTATTCTAAAGTAGATCCTGTTGTTACAAGGACATTATTGGGACAATTGGAAAACCTGAATGGAGCCTGACGACTAGGTGGCGGCAGTTATCACTGCTGATGTCGTTTCCATGGTTGGTCATGGAGGGGAATCTCCTCGTGCGTAGAAAATATACATTAAATGCACATTTGGGGGTGATGGGACTCCCTGGCAACTACTCTCAGATGGTTCAGTAAAACGGTCTTTTTACTGTAATTCCAACTTTTCTATAGTACAGTTGAGGCTGTTTCAAAATAATCATTTTATTAAAAAAATCATTTTATTTCTATTATTTTGACAGTTATAAAAATTTTCTTTTTCTTAAAACAGGAGGTAGAGTGTTTCCATACACAGCTGGTCAGATGGGAAGAATCTTCAGCTCTGAATCGGCCTCATTAATTTGAAGATAAAATGCTTACGTGAAACCACATCTGTGTCAGGTTGAAAGTGGGCAGCTCAGAGCACGTGGGCTTCTCTGTCAGCTCAATGCACAGGACTCCTCCAGGGCCTGCTGCTGGAGAAGTCACCTGCTGAGGGACCACTGCAGAGCTTCATACATCGCTTGATCCTGAGAGGAGGGGAGAAGACAGAACACAGCGCTGATCACTATCTCATGTGAACTGAACTCTGTTCCCCGAAGTTCATCTGTTGAAGTCCTAATCCCCGGTACCTCAGCATGTGACTGCATTTGGACATAGGGTCTTTAGTTTAATTTAATTTTTTTTTTTGGTGGGGGGAGGTAATTAGGTTTACTTATTTATCTGTTGTTAGAGGAGGTACTGGGGATTGAACCCAGGACCTGGACATAGGGTCTTTAAAGTGGTGATTAAGTTAAAATGAAGCCAGGAGGGTGGGCTCTAACAGATCCAGTAGGACTTGGTGTCTTGATAAGAAGAGAAGATTAAGACATAAACATGCCCAGAGGGAAGACCCTGTAAAGACAGAAGGAGAAGACAGTCACCTGCAGAGAGGTCTCAGAAGAAACCATTCCCCGCCAACATCTTGATCTTGGGCCTCTAATCTCTGGAGCTGGGAGAAGATGCCCAGTGGGTGGTGCTTTGGTATGGCAGCCTGAGCAAAGAGAGCTGAGCTCACCTCCAGGGGTCTAAATTCCTTACACCTTTTACAGGAAATGCCCCAGGACTCTCACAATTGTTGACTGAAGTTTGCCCTAAAAATCAGGTTGAGAGATTCTTATGCCTATACCTAATCAGTCAAGAAAGCAAAATTCTAAACTATACTGGGTTCAGATGGGAATGGGGGGCAGACGCAGAGGCTTCTTCAGTATATTAATATCTGTAAGAAACTGCCAGAGCATTTTCCATTTGGTTGTATCATTGTACACTTTCAGCAACACTGTATGAGAGTTCCAGTTGCTTCACATCCTTGTTATCATTTGGTGTTGTCAGTCTTTTAAATTTTAGTCAGTCTGATAGATGTGTAGTGGAATCTCACTGTGGTCACACTAACTTTATTTATTTATTTATTTTGGTGACGATGTGAAGCAACAAGAAATTCTCATTTATTGCTGGTTGGAATGCAATATGGTATAGTCATTCTGGAAGACAGTTTGCAGTTTCTTACAAAACTAAACACACTCTTACCAGAAGACCCAGAGTCACCTGAAAATGTATGTCCATACAGAAACCTGTCCACAAATGTTTATAGCAGCTTTATTCATAATTGCCAAAACTTGGAAGCAACTAAGATGGCCTTCAGTATGTGAATGGGGGCATCCTAGCAATGAAATATTTAGCGCTAAAAAGAAGTAGATGATCAAGCAATGAAAAGACATGGAGGAACTTTAAATGCATACTGCTGTGAAATAAGCAATCTGAAAAGGCTACTGTATGATTCCAACTGTATGATATTCTGGAAAAGGCAAAGCTATAGAGACAAAAAATACCAGGAGTTGAGGGAGGGAGTGTTGAACAGGTAGAACACAGGACAGTGAAACTACTCTGTATGACGTGATAGTGATGAACATACGTCATTATACATCTGTCAAATTCCACAGAATGTACAACACAAATAGTGAATCCTAATGCAAAGTATTGGGTGATCATGATGTGTCAGTGTAGATTTAACAAATGTAAAACTCCTGGTGCAGGATGTGGATAGTAAAGGAAATGGGGGCTGTGTGTGTATGTGCAGGTGTGGGTGGGTGTGCATGTGGCAGTATTTGGGAAATCTGTACTTTCTGCTCAATTTTTTGAAAGCCTAAAGTTATTTTTTAAAAAACCTATTTAAACAAAACCAAATTATATTCTATGTGGCTAAATACTCGAAGTAGCAGTGGCTGTCACTTTTTGGCAAAACTTAAGTACAGAATTCAGACATTCACATCTGTACTCAAGGCCTCAGGCGACACTGAGGATGGCTAGAACACAGCACAGCGATCACTGGGATGCAGATCAATTTGACGAGGGTTTCTCCACCATTTATTCTATTTTTTTTTCTGATTACTAGTAAGACTGTAATCAAAAACCTCTCAAAAAACAAAAGTCCAGGACCAGATGGCTTCACTGGTGAGTCCTAAGAAACATTTTTTTTTAATCTGAGGTATAACTGGTATGTAACTTTATACTAGTTGCAGGTGTACACTTACAAAGTGATCACCACTCACATGGTCACACTAACATTTTAAGTGTTGGGAGGCAATTCTTTTCCTATACACTTATCCCAAAGAAATATTCATAAAATGTTTATAAGATTCAAAAATATATTAAGTTATAAAGTGGGAAAAGGTTCTTTCCTACCCTGCCCCCTTATCAAGGCACCCTCCTTCTGCATATACAAATACTAATATTCATTATTTTTTCCTCTTTTTTATATAAATGGTGGCATGTCATACACTTGATTCCTACTCTTTTTATTTAACAAGATATTTAGGAGATAGTCTTTAGCCTTTTCAGAGTAGTTACATCAGAATTCACTGTATCATTTAGAGTTTAGCTACTATTATCTACAATGCTCCCTTAAATAAATAACTGTATTTCTGAGGAAAAATTCATAGAAAGGAGTTGCTGGGTCAATGTTTGTTGTGATTATAATTTGAGCCATCTAAAAGGGCCATAATGAGCAATACCTCACCAGCTATGTATCGCAACTGTTTCCTCATATCCTGGCCAACAGTGTGTGTGATCAAGTTTTGAGACTTTTGTCAACTGATAGGCAAAAAATGGTACCTTAGTTCCTTTTCTTTTATTACCAATAAATTAAGACATTCCCCATATGTTTAACAAGCTAATTTCCTTTCCTGTGAGGGTCTGTTCATATTCTCTATTTTTCTATTGGGATATTGGTCTTTTTCTTATCAGTTTCTAGTCATTCTTTAAGCATGCAGGAGATTACCCCTTTGTGATATGAACTATAAACATTTTTTCTAGTTGGTCATTTGTTCTTTGATGACATTGTTTTAATGCAGAGATTTTAATTTTTATGTATCAGATTCTTCAACCTTTTCACTTATGGTGGCTGGGTTTTATGTTCAGAGTAAAAAAAGAACCCCTACCTCAGGTTATAGAAGTCTCCCTATTTTCTTCTAGTACTTTGATGGTTTTAGTTTTTATACTTAAATCTTTGACTTATTTGGAATTTATCCTGGTATACAGTATAAAGTATGAATCCAACTTTTTTGAGATGGCTTCCCAGATGTCCCAATATTACTCACTGAATAGTCCTCTTTCTGTCACTCGGGTGGGGAATATTCTATATTAGGCATTTCCAATATAAACTACATATTATATTAGGGTCCATTCCTGGACTTTATATTCTGTTCCATTTGTCCGTCAGTTAATTCACTGCAATGTTTTACTGAGGCTTTTGAAAACTATATTAGTGTTTTTTAGGCCCCACCCCAGCTTGACTTTCTTTTTGGAGTTTTCCTGCCTGTCTAGTTCTGAAAACAAAACAAAAAAGTTAAAATAAAAAATAAAGAGTAGATCCATTAAAATAATTTTGGATAATAATATTAAAAGTAGAAAGAGGTGACAAAAATGAGCTGCTCAATGTTACATTCAGGAAAGCATCTCAACAAATGTCACATCTTTCTTTTGGTTTGGTTTGTTTTTCCTTTGGTTTGACTTTTGAAATAAATTTTATTTGACTATCCAGCTTCTTTAATTTCAGCTGAATTCTCCTAAATCAGAAGGAAGAGGCTCTTTTGTACCATTTTGAACAGTGAAGGACCAGAACCAGAAAGAAGGGACTGAGCCCCCAGTAAACATAACATATGCTGGTTTCAAATTTACCTGTGAAAAGTAAGCAAAGCTGATAAAATAAAGATTTAACCCTTAAATATCACAGCTGCAAGGATGAAAACATGGCCAAATTTAGGGACAGGTCAAGCAATTTTCAAACTCTGCATGACATTTTTGTACCCAACTGTAATAAAATTACTTGAATAATAAACATAGAAGCTTTTCAACATTACAGCAAGCAAATACAAACAAAATGTTTCTAGAAAACCTAAGTGATCTTTCTAGAGGTAAAGAAAGTAAGAGAGTGACAAATGATGAGCTATCCCGGGTCAATATGTAAAAACCAACTGAACCTCTATATACTAGTAACAAGTTCATGGATTGGGAAACTCAGTATTTTTAAGATGTCTGCTCTCCCAACTTTTCTGCAGATTCAGCGCAATCCTATCCAGAATTCCAGCAGGCTGCTTCTGCAGAAACTGATAAGCTGACTGCAAATTTTACGTGGAAATGCAAAGAGCCTAAAATTTAGACATAAATAATTTTGGAGAAAGAAGGACACATTTGGATGGTTTATACTAGCTGATTTCAAGATTAATATAACTAAAATAATCAAGAGAGTGGCAAAAAAAGGTACAGTAGCATAGAGTGGATATAAAGATCAATGGAACAGAATAAAGAGTGCAAAATAGGTTCATGCATCTATGATCAACTGGTTTTCAAAAAGAAGGCATGATAATTCAATGAAAGTAAAGTCTTTTCAACAAACAAGGCCAGACAGCTGCATGGAAAAAAGTAATCGTGACCTCTATACCTCACATCAAACTTAGAAAATTAGTTTGAAATGGATCATAGATCTAAATGTAAATGCTAAAGCTGTAAAACTACTACAAAAAAGCAAAGGAGAAAATTTTTGCTAACTTAGGATAGTCGATTCCTTACGACAGAAACACACAAACCATTAAAAAAAAGATAAATTGGACTTCATGTAAATTAAAAACTCATGTCCTTCAAAAGATGCCTTTAGAAAATAAAAAGGTAAGTAACAGAATAGGAGAAAATATCCTCAATAGCATATCTGATAAAAGACTTCAATCCAAGATAAAATAAGCAATTATACAACTTAATACAGAGAGAAACAACTCAATTTTTTAAGAGCAAAAGATGAGGATATAAAATAAGATACCCAAATGACTGATAAGCATATGAAAAAATGCTCAACATTGCAGTCATTAGGGAAACACAAATTTAAACCACAACAGGATACTATTTCACATCTAGTAGAATGGCAAAAATTAAAAGACTGACAAAACTCAAGTGTTGGTAAGAAAGAGGGCCAACAGGAACTCTCATAGATTGCAAATGGCACTCCAGCCACTGGGAAAAGGAGGCTGGCAGTCTCCTATAGTTAAACATACACTTAACATGAGACCCAGCAATTCTTCTCCTGGTCAGCTACTCAAGAGGAATAAAAACACACGTTCTCTCTCTCTCTCCCCCTCTCTCCCTCTCTCACACACACATACTCAGAGTACAATTATTCGTAAAAGCCCAAAACTGGAAATAACTAAAGTGTCTGCTGACAAGTCACAGGACAAGCAAACTGTGGTATATTCATATAATGGAAAACTATTCAGCAAGAGAAAGAATCAAACTACTGAAAAACACGACAATATGGATGAATCTCTAGAACGTTACACTGAGCAAAAGGAGCCGGACACAAATAAGTACACACTGTATGACTCCATTTACATTAAGTTCTAAAACAGGCAAAGTCGAAGGATGATGACAGAAGTCAGATCAGGGGTTACCTGGAGGAGTGTTTGTAAAGGGACTGAAAACCATAAAGGAACACAGGGAACTTTCTGAAGTGATGAAGCATTCTACTTAGTGACTGCAGTGCTGGTTACATCTGTCAAAACTTACAGAACTGTATTTATGTATTACTGTGGGTAACTTAAATTTCAATTAAAAAAAGTAAGGTTACATGTGGAGCTATGCCAATATGTCCCAATTCTTAAAAAGCCTCGAAAATCTGGCTGGAGGTAAGAAAATTTCAATTAAAAAAGATTTTTTTAATGACTAAATCTTTGGGAGGACACTTATATGACTACTCTCTTGGTGATCAGAATGAAAAGTGCCAGTAAGATTAACTGTAAAACTCTTTCTGATTTTAATTAATAAGCCCATTTTATTAGAGAAATGTAAATAAATTTCCTCTAGGATCCAAGAATGCCTGAGAGGTCAAAGCAGACTACTGTTTCTTCAAATATGGTAAAAAACCCAGTCCAGGTCAGCAGACATGACTTCACTCTAGCAGAAAAAGAGTTAAGTCATATGTCCAAAAAAACCCACCACCAGCTCAAACCCCTTAACTGGTTATTTCAGTCAAAAGTGATAAGATGGTCAACTAACTTAGAGCATTGAGACCAAGACTGGAGGCACAGAAACACAGCAATCATCTCATACAACTGTTTGAACTTGGACATTCAAGAATTTTCAATCAACAATCATAACGAGAAATACTGAGTCTAGAGTAATAAATCGCTAGTGATTTAATGGAAGTTTTAGTATAGTCAATAAACAGGATCTCATGGCTAAGGTCTATTATACTTCTGGGAGTCTGGAAACGAAAGATATTCAAGTGAACAAAACTCATCACAACACTGTTCAGTTCAGACATTTCTTAGGGCTGGACACTCCCCTGCCAACTCTCCTTGTAAGTGTCAAGTAACTGCCTTCATTTAACAGGAAATAACTATAAACAGAATTCCTCAACACAGGAAAAGTCAGAGTGATTTTTTTTTTAACCCTTCTAAGCTGATCTTATCATGAGGGTAATTTTAATTTTCTGAAACTATGGCTAAGTCCCTAGTGCTGAGTTTGGGCAGTTGAGGTCAAAGATAAGAAACTATTTGTTAAAAAGAGTGAAGCAGGTCAAATAATACTTGAATGAGACTGATTACAAGTTCTGAGATAGAACAGACACAAGAGGTCATCTTCTCCTAGTTTCTAAAAACATTCAAAATTAAAATCTCTCAAGAACTCTCACAAAGGCAACTGTTTCACTTGTTTTCATGAGTTCACATCTACTGGCCTCAATTCTAATCTCTTCTTTCTCATATCTTTAAGAACATTTCTTACCTCTTTTGATATGGATGGTTTTACTTTCTTGAAAGCTTCTTCAAAGTGCTTCTGACTAATCTTGAGTTCACCTGTGGAGCAAACGCATAAACATACAGATCTGGGTACATTATGCTAACTGTGATTTACAACTTAGTTCCTCTTGTGAAACTTCCAAGAAGCATTCAAGGGGAGCACTCAGGAAATGAGTGATGACATCGGTTCTATCCTTTTTCAGAACAACATTCAAGCCAGATATATTCTGCTCATCGTATTTTTGGACGTTTTTCCTTTTCATTTAATTTATACATTCCTGATCATATTTAATTTTACAAAAGTGCTTACATTTTATAGTTTCACACATTTTAGTGCAATCTTTTATCCCTAACAATCAAAACAATTTATCTTGGGATAAATTATATAAAAAATTTTATCCATATTTAATTAGAGAGATTCTTATTCTTTAAAAAGAACAGTCCATGTATCTTTTATTTACTTATTTTCCCCCTAGATTTAATGAGATATTGTTGACATATAACATATTTAAGTTTAAGGAGTAAAGCATGATATAAATGAAACTATTACCATGAGAAGGTTAGCTAACACCTCCATCCCGTCATGATTACCTTTTTTGGGGGGGGGGGGAGGATGATGACTTTTAAGATCTACTCTGTTAACTTGGAAGTACCAGACCCTTGAACAACGTGAGGGTTAGGAGTGGCAACCCTCGGCACAGTCAAAAATCCATGTATAACTTTATCATTGGCCTCTGAACTTGCGATGCCACATCTGTGGATCCACCCAAGCATGGATTGTGTAGTAGCAAGTATTTACTGAAAAAAACCCACATGAAAGTGGATCCATATAGTTCAAGGGTCAACTGTGTTGAACACAGTACTGTTAATTAGTGCATAGGATTCTCAGAAACTTACTCTTCTTTATAGCAGGAAGTTTGTACCCTCTGACCAGGGTACATACCATTTCCCCCAGCCTCTGCTCATCAGATTTTAATGCAGTACCATCCAAAGAGACCTGTCACTTGTAAACAGATAACCTTTTGTAATCTTTGCATTATTTGCTTTAACTTAATAGCATTGTTCATGAAGAAGAACCAGAATTGTTCTCTTTTAAGACAATTCAAACAAATTTAACTGAGAATGGAAAGTAAAATTCCACTGTCTTTAAGAATGCATACACATAATTAGACGCTACGGAGTTGTGGTGTCATGTAATATGTATGGAGCTTATCATAACACTGGATTTTAATTCTTTATACGATTACGCCATTACATAGTAAGAGAAATCAAATAACTAAATGTTAAATAAGGCTTGGTTTACAATTTTAATATGACAACTTACAAGATGATAATTTATACTTAAAATAGTAAACACCCTACACAGATATTAAGATAGTAATATATTAACCTAAAAATAAAATAAAGTGTATAGCTGAACACATCAAATGGAAGTTGGATGGTATTACTGATTTCTGGTTTAGTATAATATGAATGCAAAGTCCCAGAAGGACAGGCAGCTGGAAATGTAAACTGGAGCAAAGCAGAGATGTCAGAATCTGTTACACACGTTTATAAAATAACACCCAATCAGAATTATTAATAGCAGCTAACACACATACAGAGGCCTGTTAATTTTTAGTGACAAAACAAGACAATCATCAGATTCAGTGCTCAGGCAGCTGCCACTACATGTTTTTTGGCTTTTTTTAAATAAGATTTTCTAATGTTGCTAATTATTTCCCACTCACTTCCAAAAGAACTTAAAATGGTTTACAAGAAAAGAAGTTCAGATAACTGAATCTTTAAATGACAAAAAAACCTCAGGACTTCATAATTAATATATGTGTGCTGACAAATCTAAGCTAAGCATATGCTGCTATAGCTGTAAATAAAAGTTAGTTCTAAGAGTATTCATAGTCAAAGAAAAAAGAAATAAGAAAAAAAAGATAAAAATCAAAAAAGACATCTTTCTGGAAATCTACTGAAAAAAAGGGGATCAAATAGAGACTTGAACTTCAGATGAAAGCACAGGTTTTGAGGACAAGGTGGGTCTTGCTGAAGAAGGTGTTCGACAGCACTGTGAGGAAGGTGGCCACACAGTGCAGCTGATCAGACAACTGTCTCAGGTACCAAGACAAGTGAGGCTATTCCTGTACTGGCATGGTTGGTCTGCAGGTGACAAATGAATCTTTTTTGTGCACACATCCCCAAATAGTACAATCAAAGATACTGTCAAATGTGAAGGATGGTGCAAAGCTGTTGAAATGGTGCCAAATCACATCACATACTAACAATAATCACATCACATAATACATATATGGATTTTGTGTTTTGAAAGGAAAAGTGTAAGTATATGGAAAGTTATTTCAGTTTTCACTTCTAATGTGTATGTATTTTCTAGGCTCTTCGATTGAGATTACATTTTAATAGGAAAGGAGGTATCACCTTAGCAAAAGGTGAGAAGGTTTTCCAGAATTGATAAATGGACCAAACTTACGATGAAGACCGTGAGTGGAACCACTTGCCTAAATCTAAGTATTTGCATATGATGATAAGAGAGAATACCTTTTGTTAGGCACCAAATAACTTTGCTAGTACTACAGCTGTCAGCCACAGATGTTACATAATAGTCCAGAAAAATGTCAGTTTTAATATTACAGATGACAGATGCCAGGAAATGATCATTTTCTCAAAAATGGCAGTCCCTTCTTTAAGAAGGCAGAAGAAAGAGGTGCCACATTTACAGGATTCCTGTTTCCAGGTTAACAGTGGCTTTAAGTATCCAGAGTGATCATTAATTAGGACTAAGAGATTCTGGAGAGAACTGTACCTTTCCCGTTTCCACTCTTCTGTCTTGCCATTTCCTGCTTCAGGGCACAGATAGAAGCCTCCCGTACCAAAGCAGAGAGATCTGCACCCCTGTAATAAAAGAAGTGTTTTTAGTTGCTTATTCCTAGACACTGCAAAAGACCAGAAAGAAGTCTGAGGCAGTTTTAAGTCACATACTAAATAATCAGGAAAGAAACTGACCAATAAAGGTGGAATAAACTGATTATGGTCAGTATGAAACAGCTTTTAGCTTTCAATTAAAATATTTCTAACTTTTAGAAAAAAGGAAGTGATGGAGGAGACAATGCAATGAATCATAAATATTCCCCCATAGATGCTAATGTTACTATAAAAAGTCTAAAATGTTCAGTCAGTAGAAAGCAACCTGCGCATTATTTATTGCAAAATTTTCATCCATAAGGCCCATGCTAAAGTGCTGATTGGCCCATTAGCATATTACCTAACGTCTAAAATAAGCTTATATAAAAAGTCACTTATGACCCCTGGTTCAAAAAAGGAAAATGTAATGGCTAAAAAGTCTTTGATGCACTTGATTCAAGCTCAAGCTGAATGGACACATCATAAGTTACTTAAAATATGACAAAAAACTAACAAGCCTTCACGTAACTGTTGTGTGTAATAATGTGCTGAGTCAGCATGGTTCCTGAGTTCAATGAAAGACATTGGTGCTGACTGGCGTTTCATAACATGACATCTTTAACAGGATTCTTATAGCTTCTTTGATAAAGTTTGAATTTGGGGTTAAAAAAACCCTCATTTCTAGACATTAAATTTATTTAATGTGTAATGCTGACAATCCACAAAACTAAAGACCCATGAAGCTGAAATTAGTAACTGTGTGGATGTTAACAGGTGTGCTGTGAAAAAATGCATTCCAAGGCTTGAAAAACTTGAAGATTATTTTCTTTTAAATGCTGAAGCAGCTGGAAAATTTTGCAGCTGGTAATGAAATGTCTGTTATAATATTCTGGAAGGACAGAGAGACAACTTGTGAAGGGCAGTGATGGTGTTCAGGGCAGCTGGGTACCAAGAGTCAACATACAAGAGGATTCCCTCTACTCCTGGGAATCCCTCAGAGTCTCAGAAAGGCAGTCCCTTCTCTAAGAAGGCAGAAGAAAGAAAAGGTGACAATTTAGAGGATTCTGAATTTAATCCTCCCAATATCATTCTCCCTCATTTTACACATGAGGAAACTGAGGCTCAGAGAGTTCACTGATTTGAGATGGAGATACTCACGAGTAGCAGTCACAGCGAAGGTCACCAGCAACTGCTTCCAAATTTACATCCGCATCCAGCGGGGGTTTAGTGCCATTCTAAGTAAGAGAGAAAAATCCATTTTCACTGAGGCTTTAAACATCAGTATTCTCCCACAGAATAGGTCCTTCATAAATAGTAATGGCTGCCTGACTAAATGAATATAACCGACTCCCAGACTAGAGTTATGAGATTTTTACAAACTTCAATTTTGAGAAATGAGTTTAAGAAGCAGATTCCAGGCTTGGGAAAGCTTACATAAAGGCAAATAAATAATTGATGCTGGTGAAGTTTGAAGAATTTGTAAGCATTACAGCAAAAACAAAACAAGAACAAACACCACCACCTCAATCTTTCTGAAGGTAAAGAGTCACATTTGCTTTGCCTGATTAAATATGGCAAATCCTTAAGCAGTGATCTGTTTTGATGTGGATATGTATTTAGTTTTGATGTGAGGTTGGCTAGGAAGGCAGAAATAACACTGAAAGTGGCCAGGAGAGAACAGGCAGCAAACTGGCTCTACAGTAAAAGCCAGAGTCCTCTGTGCTCGATGTGTTCTTTTCCAACCCTTTATCTAAAACTCAACCCCGACTTTGGTGCCAATTCCCCTTCAGCTCATACCAAGAGATTCGAGAAAGGACAAGTATCCAAACAGCCTCAGAATTCCAGCAACACTTAACGTGGTACCTTGCCTGCATACAGTACATATTTAATAACATTTTTAGTGACTTAAACTGCAGAGGCAAACAAAATAATTTTTAGTGATTTAAAGTAATTGACATGGTTAGATGGTAGGTTCTTGAGTATTTGCTTTATTATTCTGATTCATAACTTATATATACAGTGTATATCATCTTTCCCTGGTAGCAAATACTACACGGAAATAAACAGTTTAAGAAGAAATACACGGGAAAAGTAAATAAACATATGTCATTGTCTCAAGGGTAAATATTAGCTGGGCAGGTGGCTCAGGTGACCCAATGCTCTGCTTGGAGCACTTGCCCAGCTAATATTTACTTGCTTCCAGCCCCCGGGCTCAGGAGAGGTGGTGTCCTCTCCTGTCCTCCCAGCTGGGCGTGTTTAAGAATTTCACGAACTGTACATCTGTTAGCAGCTATTGTTTGCTAAAATGCAAATATTCATGTAAGACAGGTTCAAGAAATGGTTATGTTTCCCATTCAACATTCTGTGAAATAAACATGGGAAAATAAACTGTGTGACCATGGGAACAATCTCTGTGCTTCCCCTCCCCCTCCAGTTGTGTATAAAACTACATGGTGAGACTGCATGATTTCTAAGGTTCCCTTTAATGTAATTTAAAAAATTGGGGGGGGGAGGGAGGGAAGTCATTAGGTTTATTTATTTATTTACTTATTTTTGGAGACAGTACTGGGGATTTAACCTAGTATCTCATGCAGGCTAAACATGGACTCTACCATTTGAGCTATACCCTCCCCACCCTTTAATGTAATTTTGTCAGTTAACCCCATGGGGGTAGAGGTGAGCAGTGGCTGAAGGAAGCCGGAGGGCAGCTTCTATGACTCTGTAATGGTCTCTCTTTTACTATGGTAAAATTTACTTAAAAATTTTTTATCATTTTAACCATTTTAAAATGTACAGTTTAGTGGTATTAAGTACATTCATGCTATTGTGCAACCATCAATCTCTAAAATACAACCATCCATCTTCTCAAAGTGAAACTGTGTGTTAACCACTAATCCTGCCATTACCTCCTCCCCCAGCCCCTGGCAACCACCGCTCTACTTTCCGTCTCTATGAATTTAATGAACTGGTAATATTCTCCTTACTGATCTGTAGGTCATGTTTATAAAAACGCGTGAAGTTGGACAATGATATGTATACTTTTTCTGCATTATACTTCAATAAAAAGGCCTAAAAATCGGAAATAACATTGAACTAGAAATTTAAAAACCTGAGTTATAAAGTTTCCATCTGCAACTGAATGGACCTTTGGGAAGTTCCTAAATCTTTATTGCTTATTTTGGTAACAACCCCTCCACCCCTACCCCAGCATCTTATCTCCAGATAAGTAGAGATAATTTGCTGCTATATGTGGGAGGGGAAGGAGAAATCTTTTTAAAATAGTGTTGGTGAACATGTAATAGGGAGTTTTCATGATGGAGAATAGAAATGCTTGGACTTTCCAAGCTATTCCTGAAGCCTGATAACACTGCCTTGTTGAGTCCCTCAGTCCACTACTGGGAGGAGGTAGGGGGTAGAGGGGAGGGGCTACCTTATTAGGCATGAGCCCTTATGAGATTCTTTAATGTTTCTAAGAAACTATCAACCTTACCTTGGCTGTCACCCAGCATATGGATGCTCCCTACACCAATTCCATGTGCAGCTGGAGCATTTTACCTCAAACTATCTACAGTCTTGTTTTAACCTAATGCTCACTGATGAGAAAAAGATTCATGGAGATAATTCTTTCACACTTCTCAGTGTCTAAATTCTACTCTTGGGTCAAGCTGGACTTCCATAAAGGGCTGCACATTCTCAGGTACATTTCTTCGATTTTTCATGAAGTTGTTTTTAATGAACTGGCCCTTAGTCCTGTCCTTGGCTTAAGAGAAACACCAGCTTCGGTCTTGAAAGGCTTACTACTGTGTTTATGATAGAGATATTGTCAAAAATGGCTATTACATCTGGGTGTCCTCTTTATGAGAACCCAGAGGAGGAATTTTTCTCACAACTACATACTGGGAGCAACTGCCAGCTCTTTATATTGAGGGCACCCTTTAAGTTAAATCTTTTGCAAAAGGTCAATATATAAGGGAACACAATAAATAAATGATTATCTAAAATTACTACCTTAGAAAAATAATTCTCAGAAATTTATTCTCAGAATCTAATTCTTAGGAAATTAATTTTTTAAAAAATAAATCTCCAAAATACCTCCACTTGAAAGAAACTAATGAACTGCCTTTTTCTGGGAGTGTGGGTGAGACCCATACAGCAGACCTCCAAAAGTTTCAACAGCAACGTTACTTTCCAATTAGTAGAAATAAGAGCTGATGACTCTCTGGATCATTAAAATCTAATTATTCTTAACTGAAATGGAGCAATGTTTCTGACCTGCAGTAAGATGAGAAATGAAAGGTGAAGTCTATGTACTGTCAAGTGGGAGCAATTAGAAATTTTTTAATTGCATATTAGAAAGTTTATAAAACTAAATATATAAATATTTTAGAGACTCATTTATTGAAATGATACTTATATCTATGAAACATTTAGAATGCTTTATACTAATGTGGTTTTTCTTCACTACTGATTTTACTATCCTTTAATAAAGCACTGATGGATATCACAAATAATTTTGTGACTTAGAGAAAGCTGAGCCAAAGGAATTATTAGAAAAAGGACAACAGTCTCTTAAGAAGTTATAGCCCACAAACATCATGATTCTATTTACATAAGGAACCTAGAGTAGTCAAATTCATAGAGAAAAAGTAGAATGGTGGCTGCTGGGGGTTGAGCTGCTAGGGTACAGATTTTCAGGCTGCAAAATGAAGAGTTCTGGAGATGGATAGTGGCAGTACAACAATGTGAATGCACTGATGCCAAAAAACTGTCCAGTTAAAAATGGTTAAAATCATAAATTTCAGTTAAATATATCTTACTACAATTTAAAAGAAAAAGGAAGTTATGACCCAAGTAAATATTATTATTCTGATACTTAATCCTGTAATTCTCATTAAGCATTATATGTTATGGAACACACATGTTCAAAAAGTTACTCAAAATGTACTACTATCTTTTATTTCAATAATTACATCTCTATTTAGTCAATGAAATCTATTTTTAATCACATAACAAAGTCTGGAATCAGTAATGATTTTTATTCACATAGTCGACTGGAAAACAATAAAGAAAGGAAAATTTAACATAATCGTATCACCATAACATGGTAATTGTTGCTCTGTGATTTCTTGCCAGTCTTTGAACATATACATAGAAACACTCATCTCTGTATCCTGCTTTTGTGAGATAAACTTTGCTTGTCAGTAAAATGGAAATAGTATTTCTTTGAACATTTAAATATTCAATTCAAACATTTAAAAAGGCAGTTGCAAGGATTAAGCATATTCATATATGTAAAGTACCTAGAACACAGTAAGTGCTTAATATATTACTATTATTATATCAGATATTCTTATCTTAGTTCATGAAAATTTAACACAATGTTTCTAGGTGAAATGTTATTATATGTTTTAGTCTTATGGGACACATTTAAAAACTATATTGAGTTTTCGATCTTTGAGTGTAGTTTTTATCACTTGTTTTAAAGACGGCATATTATCTCAAAGCACTTGCCAGACATCAAATAACCTTTCTGGTTTTCCGAGATAAGGCTAAGTTTTAATAACATTTATAGGAAAGAAATGGGAATTAAGAAAAAAAATTCCATTTGTCCAAGGAGGTTTTTAGTGATAAACCTCTTACCACACCATTATCAGAAACAGCAAACAAAAATTAAAAAGTAATATATCATTGCTTGCTTTTCTTAAAATTTTTTTTTGTGGGGGGAGATATCTAGATTTATTTATTTATTTTAATGGAGGTACTGGGGATTGAACCCAGGACCTCGTGCATGCTAGACACACACTCCACTGAGCTATACTCTTCCCCTCCCCATTGCTTGCTTTTCTTTTAAGAAACCTGACTCCAAAAGATATTGAGAAGTCGCTCTGACCCTCGTATCTTTAGACTTTGAAGATCAAGACTAAACAATTTTATTCTAATCTACTCCTAATATTTCAGGTATTAACTGGAAAAAGAGGAAACAGTATACATAAACAATTTTTATATAAAATTGGGAAACTTAGGGGAAGGGTACAATTCAGTGGTAGAGTGCCTGCCTAGCATGCATGAGGTCCTGGGTTCAATCCCCAGTACCTCCACTTAAAATCAATCAATCTAACTACCCCTCCCCCACCAAAAAAACCCCAAACAAAAAACAAAAGCAAAAAAAAAAAAATTGGAGAATTTAAGTAAAAAGCCAGCAACCTTTGAAACAGAAAGGTTTATTAAATATGGAAAATGCCTATTTTCTCCACTTTCGGCAGACTGCGAAAGACTAGATATGGGCAGGAGGTCCACCTGGTGGACTCTTGCCCTGACACTAAGATTGTGCTTCCTCCCCCTCTACCCTGCTTCAGCCATTGACAAAGATCTTCAAACAAAAACATCTGAGGCCTCTGGAGGGAAAAAGTAAGATAAGGGTGTGAAATGCAGTGCAAGCAGCTCTCTTCAGAGGGCACCAGAAAGTGCCTTCGTCACCCAGGCCAGCGCGGGTCCCTGTCCTCTTGCGGGTCTGAGAACACTACTATCCAGAACTGCGGCAAAAATTCACTCTACGAATAAACGGCCCAATTGTAAAGGCCAGTCAAATGTGCTTATGCGTATTCAAGGAATCAGTCGTCTAAGTTATAAATAGTAAGTAGTTCAGCTGTGTCATTTTTTTTAGATTCCCCATATAAGTGACATCGTATGGCATTACTGTGTTCTGTTGATTCATATTTTGTGGTTGGCTTTATTCCTTTGATAACTATGTAAGTTTAAAAAGCTAAAGCTCTAAACTGTTCTTAGAAACAATGAAAAGTACATATATGTAAATTTTAAAAAATTTTAAAAGATACAAAGTTAAAAGAAAAAAAAGAATAAAACGGCCCAAAGCCCTCCTCTGCCTTTGGCACAGATCTGAGAACTTTCTAAACCACAATCACACAAAAGTTGCTTTTAAAGTCAAATCGATTTTTATCAAAATGTCTTCTTCTGTTTCTTTTTCTTTCCATAGTCACAACCCCTGTGTGCATGGAGGCTGTCCAAAGGGCCTTTCTAATTCTAGGCTCTTCTTCCTTAACATCTACACTTATGCTTTTGTTTAAAAAAACAAACAAACAAAAAACAACCCTCCCTCAAATATATATGCTCATGATATTCCCCAGTCTAACACAAATACAAGTCACTGAAGTCCCCTCAACACCCCCTTACTGAGACGCCCCCCAGCTCTCTGTGTGCGGGTCCTCCCTCGCTATGAAGAGTAACGAGGCCCGCCTGTGTATCTCAAGTGTTCCTGCTCTCTGACTGGAGGGCACTGACAAGGCAGAAAAAACAGGCCCATCCCGAAAGGGAAGCACTGTTCATATTTTGGCATGTTTTCTTCTTGACTTTCTTCTTTATATTTCTTTATATAGTTGAAATCTCTACTTACCTTCATTTACCCCTTCCTCAGGAATGAATTAATATGCTTGTTGTTTTATAAACATTCACATTATCTTTCCATCTAGCAGACAAGCTCCTTACAGGTAAGGACTGTGTCTTGTGTTTCTTAGTCTCTCCACAGTACACATGCAATCAGGGATATAGTTAGTTTACAATAACTCCTTGTTGACTAACTAGAAGATCATTCATTTAGACTAATATTCTAGTATCTTATTTTTTAATGATTTGATCTCTGAAATGGGGCATTTACCCCTTAGTCTGAGAGCTAATAATTTTGGCAAATAGTGCTGAAATTCTAGATGAATGGAGTGTAAAGTTGTTCCATGGTGCTGAGTATCATTCAGTGGACGAAATATGTCTGGAAGAATGAGCCAATCATTCTTCTGGGTCCAAATCTGTAACGCCCTTAACACCACAAACCTCATGTCTGGCATGTCTAGAAATGAGTATCACTTCAATATATGCCTTTAATTAGTGACATCCCATGGGCAAGCATGCAAGCATCATCATTATATCACCACAACTATGAGAAATTTATAGAAACAAATTAGGATTGTATATATGTGCTTGTGTGTGTATATGTACATACACACATACATTAACCAAAGCAAACCAAAGCTCACTATCAGAGTCCCTAATGACAAAGCCAAGGAAAGGGAGAGAAATGCCATGAAGCATTCATTACCAAACTTACTTGATACAAAGAAACAAGTACACACAACTAAAGAAGGGTTTCTTAACTTTGAAACTATTGACAATTTGCGTTGGATAATTTGTTGTGGGGCTGTCTTATGTGCTGAAGGGTGTTTAACCCACAGCACCTGTTAGCCTGTAGCACCATCACTCCCTTACCTCAGTGATAAACAAATGTCCCCAGATATTGTCCTGGGCGTGGGAATGGGCTGCTGTTGCCAGTAAATTGCCCTAGGTTGAGAGCCACTGAACTGAAGCAATGTTGTTTTCATGACCTTAACCACTGTATGTGCTGATGACAGGCAAAACGACAACCCAGCCAGATGACTCCTCTGAACTCCCAACCATAGAACCAACTTCCTACTAAACGTCTCTGCTTGGATAATGCTCAAGCACCTGAAACTCAAATAACATCACCTTCTCATTCCTCAACCCCTTTACGTTGGTAGATACCACCATCTATTCAGCTGCCCAAGCTGAGAATTCATCTTCCTTTTTCTTTACCCCCTAACTCTATAGTTAATCCAATGTCCTGTTAATTAAAACCTTTAAACAGTTTTTTTTTTATCTATGTCCTCTTAGCCATTCCCCTGATACTGCCTTCATTCCGGCATGCTTCATTTTACGGCTTTACTTTCCCCTTCCTCCAAGGTGGCTTCCACACTGCCATCAGTGGGATCTTGTTAACCCACAAAGCTGATTATCCTCCTGTTCCCCCTCCTGTGGGAGATAGTTATGAACACTGTAATATGCAGTTTTAAGTACGGATGGCCCAGGAAAGTAGAAACACAGAATCTTCCTTTGCCAACATAGAAAGAAAACACTAAAAAAGTTAGGTTTAAAAATTTACCAATGGCAACTAAACAAAGGGGTAAAACTTGCATGTTGAGAATGTTGAAAAGTGGTGCAGAGGAAAGAGAACATTCTGTTCTGGTGAGTAGGCCTCCATTTCTGGGAAGCAGCACTGAGGAAAGAAGCTGACAGAATCTTATAAATGTCCATTAATATTCCAATTTGGTGAGAAGCAGCCTGAGGAGAAGATAACCCTAGGAAAAGTTACATACAAACCTTCAGATATACTCTCAGGGGATTTCAGCAGAACCAGGAAGAACTGCTGTTTGTCATAATCCAGGAGCTGTGCAGCACATAACCAACCACACGGGAAGGAGTCATGCTCCGCTCGGACAGACCAGGTCCAGGCATAAGACATTTCACAGGGGCTCTTTCAGAAGAGAGTAAGCTCAGTCTTCCTCATGAGGATTAAATTAGTACCAGCTTAGCTCCCTTTCCCACCCCCAGGCTGTAAACATGTAGATAGAAAGCAATAAACCAGAAATCAAACTGTAATATGTGAATGGTAGGAGTGAGAAGGGGGATGGGAGAACTCGCCCACTCTGTATCGGGACAAAGAGAAGGTATGGATGAGCTTGGAAGGAAGTTCCAATGTAAGGAAGGAAAAAGGAAAAAAGAGAAGACTGTAGGTTTAATCACAGTGAATGCAGTAGAAAAAGACAAACATTAAAGCAAGTAAGATATGGAAGACAAAGGGCATCTAATGTAAGAATAATTGGTGATCTTGGAGAAGTGAATCCAATAAATGATACTGAAAAAATATTTATACACACAACACAGAAACACTTCCCTGGGATGAAGGAAGAAGTGCACCTACAGAATAAAAAGGTACAACAGATTCCAGCTCCTTGTCACTCAAAATAAAACCCCACCATCACCATCACCATCACCATCACCAGCAACAACAAGCAACTGACAGTGACATATCTTATTTCACTTACTAAACTTCAAAGACAGAGACTTTTTTCAGGGATCCAAGCAGAAAAAGCAAGTCACCCACCAATGGGAAAAAACAAAGATCAGATGGCCTCAGACATTTTTACAAACGCATTCAACATTCAAAAATGATGTCACAATTTCTACAAAGACCAGAAAGAAAGACTGTGCAATCAAGGAAAAATCATTCCCAGCAAATATGCCATTTAAGTATAAAGACAACAGGCAGACATTCTTTTCTTTGGTTTTTTTCTTTTTCTTTTTTTTTTCTTTTCCTTTTACCAACCCTTGTGTCAAGGGCTGGCTGTGAATAGATCGCAGCAAGGGAGGTGCTCTGTTACATACGAAGCCCTGACCCAGAACTAGGAACGACCCAAAGCTAAGAACGTGCGGTGCCTGATGGGTGAGGGGACGGTTGCCTTTCTGGCCGCACCCCTGTCCCAGGAAGAAGGGCTCCCCGCACCGGACCCGCCCACGTGCAGGCACAGCAGGGAACCGACTATCCAAGGCCAACCGTGGCTCCTGTGGCACTGCCAGGTCGGTCTGCCTGGTGGGCGGTCAGTCATAATCCCACAGATGGTAGTTTCGTGGGCAGACATTCTCAATCATGAAAGTGACTCAAGAAATACAGCTGAATAAACAAACTATTAATAAATGGAATAAACCTAATGAGGAAGTATAGTCAACCAAATGACGAACTGAAATAAACTAGAACACATATAAAAGTTGTGGCAAAAGTGCTGGTCCTGAGTATTATATCTGCTTAAATATGAAACTAAGAACATGACTCTAGAACAGAATGTAAATGTGATGACACTGGATGAAGAAAAAATATACAGAGAACAACAGCTGGTAAGTGGGAAAAGGGAAATGTAAGAATGTGAACTTTCTAATTTTCAGGGCAGACACTGAACTAATGCCATCTAAAATGAAGGAAAGACTTGGAAGTTTTTCTCTGGACACTTAAAATGGCTCTAAATCTATTTACTTTTCATCTCCAAAAGTTTCTATTCCATTTCAAATATGCTCTGAGGACAATTCCTTTAAAGCAACAATCAAAGATTTGAAAGAACAGAAATGTAATTAGAGTGATATCTCACATGTATCAGTTAATAAGAATGAACTTTAAATATTCCTTTTATTTTAAGCAAGTAAAAAAGAATGGATAGTCTCTTCAAATTATTAAAACAAATTTCACCTCCTCTGGGAGGTAATAGGCTGGGCAAATACTTAAAGCTACAAAAAGAGAGTAACTAGGTGTCCTAAATTACGACTTGTCTGTATTTAAAATGCAAGAAACATACACAAAAATATGTCATTTTCTTTACTCACTTTTGTGATAGTTTTTAAAATGGCAAGACGATCTGCTGGGGGTGGCAAACCCACAAAGAGCGTTTTGTCTAGGCGGCCTGGGCGCAGGATTGCAGGGTCAATGATATCTAGGGAAGAAAAAGCCTTAAATAAATAAAATCTTTAAAATAAAAAATACAACTAACACAAGAGATGAGAAGAGCACATTTTTTAAAAGAAAAAATTGACATATTAGACTATTACAATTAGAAGCTTCTGCCCATTAAAATACATCCTTAAGAAAGCCAAAAATCCACCCACCCCCTTCGTGCCCCAAACCTGCTTTCCTCCAGGATTCTCCATCTCAGATAATGATCGCTGCTGGACCCCCAAATACCAGGCAGGTTTCTCCCTTCCCTCTAACTGGAGACACATTCTATCAATTCTATCAAATCTGCCTCCCATTACCTTGACCCTCAGTCAAGGCCAAATGTACTGTCCCCCTAACCGGTCTGTTTCTAAACTTATCCTCTCTGGAGAATGCAGAGGAGGGTTATCCTCCTAAAATACATGTTCAGTTCTCTCAATTCCTGCTCCCCTCTGCAGAATGAAGCCCAACACTTTCACTATCATGCTAGAGCACCATCTGACAAGCCTATGGGTCATCTGACTCAACCTTTTTTATAGGCAAAGGTTCTCAAACATTCTGATCTCAGGGAACCTTGGCACTATAAAAAATTACTGAGGATCCCCTTTTAACCCTTCTCCCTTGCCTTTCCCTGAATCCCCTTATTTCCTAGGCAGCCACCCGTCTGTCCTGTCACTATGGATTAGTTTGCATTTTCTAGAATTCTACATAAGTGGGATCACACACTATGTACTATCTGCTTTCTTTTACTCAACATAATTATTTTGAGATCCCCCCAGGCTGTTATGTGTAGTAGTACTTCACTCTCATTTATTGCTGAGCATAACTCCATTGCATGGAAATGCCACATTTGTTTATCAGTTCTTCTGCTGACAGACATTTGGTTTGTTTCCAGTTTTGGACTACTACGAATAGAGCTGCTACGAACACTCATGTACAAGCCTTTATGTATGTTTTCATTTCTCTGCAGTAAACACCTAAGTGTGCGATGAAAAGTAGTACGGCTATAACACTGTAGGTGTATGCTTAACTTTTCAAAATCAACAAACTGTTTTCCAAACCAGTTGTACCATTTTACCTTTCTATGGGTAGTATGAGAGTTCAAGATCCTCCACATCCTTGCCAATACATAGCACAGTCTTTTTAATTTTAGTCATTCTAAGGTTTGTAGTAATAGCTCATTGCAGCTTCAGTTTGCATAATTCCTTGATGACAAATGATGTTGAGCACCTTTTCATGTATTTATCTGCCACCTGCACACTTTCTATGGCAAGGTGTCTATACAAATCTTCTGCCTATTTTTAATGTCTTTTTTGTTGTTGTTGAGTTTGAGTTAAGTGTTGTTGTTGAGTTCATTATATATTCTGGATATAAACCTCTTTATTAAATAATACACTTTGCAAATATTTTCTCTCAGTCTGTGATTTGTCTTTGGATTCTCTTAGTAGCATCTTTTGAAGATCAGTTCAATTTATGCATTTGCTCTAAAAGACTTTTTAATGTCATATCTAAGAAATCTTTGTTTAATCCAAGGTAGAAAAAAATTTTCTTCTATGTTTTCTTCCTGGAGTTTTATAGCTTTGGGTTTTCATTGGTCTTTGATTCATTTTGAGTGAATTTTTGCATGTGGTAAGAGGTATGGATTAAAGTTCATTTTCTCGCATATGGATATCTGATTGTTCTAGAACTACTGAAAAAAGGCCATCCTTTTCCCACTGCATTGCCTTTGTGCTTTATATAAAAAAATTGTCCAAATATTTGTGGGAATATTTTTTGATGCTATTATTCAATGCTCTGTAGGTCTATGCCAATACTATGCTGTGAAACATCTTTTATCTTAAATATACAAATACAGACCTTAAAGTCAGATTTGCATGCCCGCAAATAAAAGCTTGATGTAAAGAATCCTAATCTTGATTGTAATTAGAAAGCATCCTTAGTTTAGTACTTTTATAATCACCTACATTCTCTAACAAATATCACACTTAGTATTATTTAGTTGATTATTTTAAGGAATTATTTACTTAGTTCATTTACGGTAAATCATCCTGAATACTTTAAATACATTAAAAAATATATACGTATCCACACACACACACACACACACACATACGATGACTTACACTATGATTTACCAAAAGCTCTTACAAAATTCTGTGCGTTGCATAATTTCTCAAAGAAAAGCTGGCTCATACCCAACACTTCTATTTGACTAATAGGCGTCTTAAACATGACAGGACTGAGATCCTGATCTTTTCCCATCACCTCCCTAAATAGGGCCCTACTACTGTCCTTCCCATCTTGGTTAATGCCAACGCATTCTTCCAGTTTTTCAGGCCTAAAACTCAGAGTCAAGATTTTGTTCTTCAAATGACACCATCAAGAAACTGAAAAGAGAAAATACATATGCAAACCATTTGTATGATTACTGACTTGTACTACCTTGTATCCACTAGATGGCTATAATAAAAAAGACAAACAGTAACAGGTATTGGTGAGGATGTGGAGAAATTTGAACGCTCATATACTGCTTTGTCACATTACTAGTGGGAATATGAAATGACACAGACTCTTTGGGAAGGAATTTGGCAGTTTCTCAAAATGTTAAACGTACATTTACCATGACCCAGCAATTCTACTCTTGGTATCTGCCTGAGAGAAACTATAACAAATGTCCACACAAAAACCTGTACATGAATGTTCACAGCAGCAGTATCATAACAGCCAAAAAGTAGAAACAACCTAAATGTCCATCAACCGATGAATAAATAAAATGTTGCATCTCCACACAATGGACTATTATCTGGCAATAAAAAGAAATGAGGTAAGTGATACGTTCTACAATATCTATGAACTATGAAAACTTGTGAGTAAAAGAAGCTGGACACCATACCCCACCACATACTGTATGATTCTATTTATATAAAACATCTCTAACAGGGAAGTCCATAGAGACAGAAAGTAGACCAGTGGTTGCCTAAGGCTAGAGGTGGGGGAAGAATGGGGAGTGGCTGTTAACAAACACAGATCTCCTTTTAGGGTGATAGAAATGTCCTAAAATTAGATTGTTGGGATGACTGCACACCTCTGTAATTATACTCAAAGCCACTGAACTGTATTTTTAAAATGGGTAAAACTGATGGTTATATTACATATCTAAATAAAGCTGTTTTTTTTTTTCAAACTTGGATCCTCGGACTAATGAGACTATCAGTATGTCCAGCGAAAATTATTACAAGATCAGACAGCCTTCATAAAACAGAATTAAATCTCTTCTTATGATTCATTAAAAAAATACTTACTGAGTTCTATCAAGCACCTGGGTACCTGTATGCCAGCACAAGGAATGCCAGGGCCTAAAATAACTTTAAAAGGGCAGTACTTCGCCAAAGGGCAAGACATACAGGCTTGACCATGGCACCAAGTGATTGTTCAGTCACCTTGAAGGATCATTCAATCATGATCCAAGGCCATTCAAAACAGATAGGTAAGGTTCAAAACACTGCATTTAACTTGGAACTTAAGTAGCTGAATATTTTACTATGAATAAAATCAGTCTTCTTTGTAAGTCATCCACTCTTTCATCTGATAAATAATAAGGTGTTATAATGGGTAGAAACCTGAACTAGAAGCCAACTCTCAAATATAAAACTGCAGACTAACTTACTCCCTGCTCAGAAGAGGCTTACATGTCACAATTTACTTACGTATCTTTTCGACTGCACACATATATGGAGGGCAGAAATTCTTTCTAGATACTGAATTGCTACTGGTAGGAAACAGACACCTACTGAATAGAGGAAAAAGGATTAAGCCAGTGTGGCCATTTGGGTTTCATAACCTACGTATGTTGCGCAGGAGTTTTTAATCAGCTAGACAGGGGATTCAGTGGAAACTGATCCTCAAATGAGAATATCCTTTACAGGAGTGCTATTTAAGGAAGAGAGTGCAAAGATGTGTGCAGAAGAAGTTACATGTAGGGTATCTGTGGTCAAGATGTAATTTGCACATGGAGCTTCATCTCCTCTGGTTGAGCACAGGGATGTGGTTTTATTTCCAGATCAGGGGATGGACTTTGGTAGACCACACATTTGAAGAGGGCTGTCACAGTTCTTCAGAATAACCAAAAGTAGAATGGTGAGGACAGGATTTTGATTTACTTTCTAAAAATTAGTACCTCAAAAATCAGGGAAAAAGAATAAAAGAGAAAATAGGAGAAGAGAAGAAATTTAGTAGATCAATTCAAGAGGTTTAAGATCCACCAAGTGCTAAGCATACATATAAAACAAATAAAAAGTCACATTAAAAAGGATCAGAATGACATAAAATGTTTAAAAGAAGAAAAGCAATGTCTACAATTTATGAAAAAAAAATTTTCAACTCAGAATTCTATACCCGTCAGGCTACCAATCAATAATTAGAGTAGAATAAAGATACTTTTAAATATAAAAGAAATCAAAAAATTTACCTCTTCCATGATCTCTCCTAGGAAAGTCACTGAAAGATAAGCTCTAGCAAAGTGAGAGAGTAAACCAAGAGACAAACATAAGATCAGACACAGCACAAAACAAAAAAAGCAGGAAACAAGTCCTGAAATAACAGCTATTTGTACCACACACCTAGATGGCACCAGACCAGAGTGGAACAGGACAGAAAGCTCCAGAATGAACAAAAAACCAAATGGCACTGACACATCATCTGATAAATAATACTGAGTACTGTAGATAACGTATCTGGTGAAGGATTAGAACACAGAACAAAGCAAAAGAAAAATCAGGAGTTTCAATCTAAGAATAAAAAGGTTATATGAAAAAGGAAACCTAATCATAGTGTTATTCTTGGGTCAGCAGAGAGAAATATTACGTAGTCATGGTAATGTAAATGCTGACTAGTAATTTAACCAAAAGTTGTGATAAAACTGTATTATAAATACATTAGGAGGATGGAGTGGAAAGAATAGATGGTGTGGATGGTGTGGCAGCGATGGTGGAGTGGGCTGTG